CCACCATCACTTTCATCAATCATCGTCATCACTATCACTGATCATCACCTTCACCAAAAAAACACGTATAATGTTGTGACTACTGCATATAATGTTCCGACAACTGAATATAATGTTGTCACGACTGCACACAATGTTGTGACCACTGCATAGTATGTTGTGACCACTGCATAGTATGTTGTGACCACTGCATATAATGTTCCGACAACTGAATATAATGTTGTCACGACTGCACACAATGTTGTGACCACTGCATACTATGTTGTAACCACTGCATATAATGTTCCGACAACTGCATATAATGTTGTCACGACTACACACAATGTTATGACCACTGCATAGTATGTTGTGACCACTGCATATAATGTTCCGACAACTAATATAATGTTGTCACGACTGCACACAATGTTGTAACCACTGCATAGTTTGTTGTAACCACTGCATATAATGTTCCGACAACTGCATATAATGTTGTCACGACTGCACACAATGTTGTGACCACTGCATAGTATGTTGTAACCACTGCATAATAACGTTCCGACAACTAATATAATGTTGTCACGACTGCATATAATATTGTGACCACTGTATATAATGTTCTGACAACTGCAAATAATGTTATCACGACATCATATGATGGTGTGACCACTCTATATAATGTTGTTACCGCTGCATATAATGCTGTCACGACTGCATATAGTGCTGTGACCACTGCATATAATGATGCTCATCAACATAAGGCAGTTATGGCGTTCCATATATTCTACATCCAGTCAATGACATTATAATGTAATTTAATAAATTTTTACGTTAACATTCGTATATAAAATACCAAAGGACTAGCAGTGTTATAGAAATATTGTCAGCTGAACATGTCCCAACCGGAAGTGAAACATATGCTGATGTTTGTGTGGAATGCATAAATACACAGCCACGTCCGCCGGTCGGAATGCAGGTGTTGAATCTGATGTCTCGAGTGGGGGAGAGCTCCACGTAATCTGCACGTTTATGATCCCTTGCGACAACTGTTTAAGGTTCCGTAATTTGCATGTCACAGGGCTTTATTTATCCCACCCATAATCATCATCAATATATTTACATACTGATGTTTCTTTTTTAAAAGTTGTTTGCAAGAGTTTTTAGGTTTTTTCGACTAATATATAGGGTAATAATAAAGCATTATGCAGAGTTAATCACTTACAACTTTACACAAAAAAGGGTGACAGCAAAAATCTCTAGCTGGATATGTTCTAAGTTGAAATTTATTTGGAAAAGTGATCATAATCCATTGTATGGAGATCCATGAGAATTTCCGAAGGTAATATACTTCTCACTGGACATGTTCTAAGTTACATGCCCCCTTTTGAATTTAATCTGGTTTGATCATTAACAATTATCATCGAGAACTTGAGAATCACCCGTAGGTCATATGTATGGTTTTCAATTCATTTAATGAATTGAATACTTATTCAATGTGTAAATAATGATGTTTGTTAAACTTAAGTTGATAATGCAGTTCTGCATGAAAAGTTATTTGTAGAGAATAATACAAAGTGATGCTTGCGCCAGTGCCAATTTCTCTCTATGATTCCAATATACTATCTTTTATTATCTAGACATCAGCGAGTCTGATTACAATTACAGGTATAGCTCAAGAGTTAAGGAATTAATCATAATAGATTTAGGTGTTTAAAATTGATGAATTCTTAAACTTATTTTGTGTTTATATTTCTAAAGTTAATCTAATTTTAAATTAAAAATACATTTCGCTTTAGACATCTTCTTTTAGAAAATTACTTGCACATTTACATACATATTTAAATATGTTTGTAATCTTAACTCATTTAAATTTGTATTTTCAGGTGTGCTTATCTGATCTATGCCAGATAAATAAACTGTAAAGCAAATATCTTGGATAAAATATATACTAGTATAAATGCTTTTTAGAAGAAAATGCTAAGAATAATATACATTCTTTTGATCGAATAACGGTTTTTGAATGCATCTGTTTCACTCTCCCTATTTTGAGAATTGATAACGTATAAGTTGGAACCATGGGGACAAACTAATACGCTTGCTTGCTTAACGTTCAGTGACAAGTATTTTATGCATATTCAGGCCGAAAACAACTTATCTATTAATACAATTGGTAGCTTCAGAAGACCTCAGAGGGTCGTTGCAAGGCTTCTTTAACGCTTAAGGGCATACGATACAGTTTTGATCCCGTAATGAAATTTTGATGAAAATTTGCATATAGGCTATTTTTTACCTGATTAAATCAAATATGCAATAAAAAATATACCACCATGTGCTACTTTTTGAGTAAATTGAGGTTGAAATTTCAGATATTTCCTCAAAATTCGGATTTGTGGACGTATTTTTCCTTTCGACAGAAATACATAACTTTTTTGTTTTAAAAGATAAACACAAGCTGTTTTTTGTTAAATCATTTGTAATTTCTGTTTTATATAAATGTTTTATAAATTTGTACATTTATTTTTACAAATAACTCATATTTATTAAATGTTCATGAATGTAGAAAAAAACGTCATTTTTTTGCTGTATATTTATCAAATTTAAAATAATTGCACTATTGACTTTTTCATGAAAATTGGTACACATAATCTTCATACGAAATCAAACAAAATGTCATTTTAAAAAAGAAGGGTCCATGAACTTGTTTTCAAGTTAAATCAGTTTGAATGATAAAAATCAGTCGAAAACTGCATCTTTTCCCGATAAGTCACAGTTTGACGTCGCGAAAATAACAATTTACGTTAGCAACGTCATTACTTCCCCTGTAACTGTATCGTATGCCCTTAACGTATACCGAGCGCCTTACACTCCCCTACACCATTTAATTTAACATCCCTTTTCCGACCGGACGTAGCTGCGTATTTATAACATCGCACACAGCCAAACGGACGCCCCACCATATTAGCAAGGGTTTCACTGCCGGAAAGGGGAAGTCCAAAGATAAACACATTTATCTTTAAACCACTTTTATATACACATCCAACCGTAAGTTCAAACTAATATGACTCCATAACTATATTGTAGGTATAGAGCACTAAACAAATCCTAAAACTCGAAGTTGTCAAAAGCCAACGACATTAGTAGACAGAACAAGGTAATTATATAACACTCCTTAGCAACAGAAATAGATAGCTATCAAGACAATGTGAGTGAACAATATATCAAAGTATGTGTGCGAGTGTGTTTGGGAATTCTCTTACTGAATATGCTGACATTGCAAGTCCACTGCAAATGCGTCATTATGAACAAAAGTAAATGCTTATTCTTGAAGTTCTGCCGTTTCTTTTTACTGATTCCGTATTTATTCTTTCCTAAAAAGTTACCTAAGCAATCTTTATCTAACCACATAGCTGAGACAGTTACCAATAGAGCATAGTGTTACCCCGAGAAAAACTTGTAAACAGACAAATACGAAGCCGAGGTTGACAATGTTTTCTTTTCGAGGGAAAACAAAGTTAGTTCTCTCGTTTAAACTTTTTTTTACATTTGTCATTTCTGGGCCTTTTATAGCTGACTATGCGGTATGGGTTTTAGTCATTGTTGAAGGCCGTACGGTGACCTATAATTGTTAATTTCTGTGTCATTTGGTCTCGTGTGGAGAGTTGTCTTATTGGCAATCATATTACCACATCTTCTTATTGCTATATTATCTATCATCCTCTAATCTATTCGTTATTACATTTAATCTTTTAAATTATTTTCTTGAGTAGAAATACCAATACGGAACACATTTTACATTATTGCTATAATTAAACTTTTCGGTCGCTGACCTTCTTCGGTTTCCTTATTATCCTTCTTACCTATATGATAGACACGTCATTTTTCACTATCATTAATATGTTAGTTTGGCCAGTTTGTTATTGCTTAATGCAAGAAGAAAAACATTAAAATGTGTAACCCGCTGAGCTCATAGAAGAGCAGATTTTACCATCTTATTAACCAATAAAAAACTAGCATTACAAACTTCAATAGTTATTAATAATCACTGGACAAGCGGATCCTGCTTCTTTTTTTGAAATCGGAAGTCGTGGCGAATTCAGGGAGAGGTCGTACAGGGGGTACGACCCATTATGATTTGAAAAATATATCATTTTTAACATTAATCAAATCTTCCAAAATATTGTTAGTTTTCGAGATTCACGACCTCCCCATTCAAGAATCCTGGGTCAGCTCCTTGGAAGTACGATATCTAACTACTAGTAGGTAGCAATTAAAGATAGATGGATGAATTGCTGTTTTACGTCTAGTGGCAAATTAAATGCATATACTCAGGACGATACATAGCGTGATATGAATATGAATCCTGCTTTGTACTAGACCGACTGAGCCGGATTTCAAACGTGCTAGTTCACAAGGTAACAGTCCGCAGGAAGACATGTCACCATTGTGAATTGTGACTTGGATGGAGAGTTGTCTCATTGGCACTCATACCACATCTTCTTATTTCTATCTACTGACCAGTCTTTGCTCTTACTCATTAATGCCGCGTGCTTAGCAGAAAAGAAGCAAACACCAATTTTACAGTACTTGGTTTGTCCCGCTCGCCGTTTCTTTACAAAACTGATCATTCCGAGCATAAGCTTGTTTTTAATTAAGAAATTTCTGCTCATAAACCACTTACTTAACTGAAGTATGAGTGACGGGAATTACCCTTTCTGAATTCGATAATTTGAACAAATGTGTGAAATGATGCTGTAACTCTCATTTCTACACACGGTTACCATTAACAAATTGATTTAATTAAGGTTTGATTTTAATCTTGTTTGTTTGTTTCTCTTGCTTTTTTGTTTTTGGTGTGTTTTTTATTTTGTGTTTTTTTAGTGTTTTATTCTTCTGTGAAATAAAAAATGGACTAAAGATTCATATTTTGACGTAGATAAAAGCATCAGATTTAGATAGTACATCAAGGTCATCATGTTCCTAGATTAACTGGATCAAGCTTATAAAACTATACTAAAACGAGATCTGCGAAGTATGCTTTATTTATATCTAGATATCTAGAGATAACATATATCAGATGCCATATGAAATTGGTCCAAAGTAAAGTAGAGCACTTCAAATCTTCGTTACCAACAGTTAAAATCCTATCATGCAAGCTGCAGCGTGAAGAGCAACTGAAAAAGAAAATAAAACATAATTTGGTGTATAAAAACAATATAAGACCTTGAATAGTATATATTTTCAACCATTTACTTATTTCTAAGAAGAATCAATAAGCAGTACACCCGTTTACCAGTTTTCTTGTGCCTACAATTTGTCTCTTAACAACAACAATAATGATATTTGTAATAACAAAATGTATTATGCTTAATATATCCGACATGTACCTATATCAAAATTCGAGTCTTAAGCAATATAAAAAGTGTTGGTAATTTTGGAGCTTTGCGTGTTTGGACAATGTCTTTTTCTGTATTTTTTATTGTGTTTTATTGTGTTGTATGTCACTAATTAAATCCATTTATATTTTTAATTCTGAAATCCCAACTGGCCAGTCAAAATGTAATGGATGGTATTGGATTCAATTACAATGATGATTTATTGTCAAATGTTGTTCATTTTTATCAAGATTTTTTTTTTCAACATTCCGTTTCTGTACTTTACTTAGAGATGTACTCTGTGTGGGTTTTCACAGAATGCTCATCAGTCAATAAATGTCAGATTGCATAAATTGCTTTGATAGTTTCCTCTGCAGCGAAACAAAACATGCAACAGGGAAAATCAGACATTGGAAGAGTGACAAAGAAAAAGAAATTTCAGGAATTTTCGTTTAACTTAATTAAAGAATGATTAACTGGAGTGCAGTAATCGTTTGATGATAGGAGAGAGAGATAATAAGTGCTTCTAAACAACAATAACTATTAGATGTATGTAACACACAGTTATTGTATTACTCATAGAACAATTATTTTATGTTAAAACTTGAAATATCATTTCCCCACATTTTGTTCATTGGATTATGAAAAAAGGTCTGCATAAGTGTACATAATGATACTGTGCTTCTCATTTTTGTTTTCCTGAATGCCAGTATAATCCATGCAAGTGTAAAATTTGACATGATATCTTACTTCACACTATAAATCGGCCGTTCTATCCGAATCTATTTTTATCTAAACTATCATGAAAAAATGAAGATTGTAGTTATACAGTTTTTTTTCTCTTAAAAACCTCTAATTAGATTTCGTATGTCCAGGTAAACCAGTAAATGAACTTTGATTTTCAAAACCGTTTTACAGAAGATATGGCTTTATTTTATTGTACAATAAATATCATAAGAATCGTTGAAAATTATATAAATGCAAAGTACCGAATATCCTATTTTCTGCATATTTAAACTAAAATATCAGTTGCGAATCACAATATGAAGTCTTTTGTCGAGTCAGCAGAGCGAACTAGCTAAAAGAGGCGTCATATTGTGCTGAGCACCTTAAATATTATGTTATCAATATGATAAAAATCTGATAATCGATTATCTGATCGAATTTTGTGAGTTTTTCACTGTAGAAACAGTATACATTTGTTTGTTTAACAAGCAAACCGGAAGAAGACTTGATAAAATAGTGTTTTAACTTCAAACATGACGTCGGTGATGAGTACGGGTCAACACTATTTACAGGCCGGGTCATATATATTTGTATATTTGGAGTCACAAAGTTGTAATAAGCAATTTTTTAAGAGCTCAGTGGACAGAGTTATACAGGCACAGGGAAGACCCTGATATTCTATATGCTTACTTTTGAATTCTCGTGACCCCTTCATTCATAGGATTTTAGAAAACAAATTATATCACTGAAAAACTAAGCTAATCCGACCATCCTTGTCCAGCCATGTTTGCCTAAACCTTAAATTGTCATCTTCGGTTTTTATAAATCGAAATATGCGTAATGACAGCTAAATGATATTTTTATTTTAGACGGTTTAGCTATTTGTTCAATTCAATTAATAAATCAGTGGATAATCTGGACAAAGTTTGTTTCCATTGTTTCAAAGGTTTCAGAAAAGATTATGTTTGAAAGTGTTTACGACGGACGACGAAAACCAAGTGGTGAATGGTTTGAGCGAGCTAAAGGAATGATAGATAACATCATACAATATATAATAATTCATGGCCGATGGTTAACCCTTTTCAAACATAAAAACCTAAGAGTTGACGCCAAAAATATCCAAACAAACACTGCTTTTATCAGATAGACATGTACATGAAAGATTTCCACCAATAGTTACATACCATTTCTTATTATATAATCTCAAGTTTAATCATTATTAAACAGCAAGGCGTCAGGGAAAAAAATGAACTCAAATAAAAGCAATCATTTTATGATTTTAAGATGAGCACTTAATGTCCTAAATGTGTTTATATCATATTTTAATGCAAACAGCTGCAAAGATGCTATTCAGCAATTAAGTGGTTAATTTACTTTTAATAAATCTTCTAAAATCGTAATGAAGAAATTTCTGCAAAAATTTATCGTCAACAAATTGATAGCGATTAAAACCCTTTCTGTTATCTTCGAAACATCAGTATAGAATTTTTCTCCATAAATCAATACAGGTTGCAACCCTTCGCTTCAAATTATAATTGAAAATGTTGATGTAATTAAATTGGCTTCTTATTTTACCTTTACTGAAAAGCAAAATCAAATTATAAATCAGTAGATGCCATGACGTGTTCATTAGTTCAAAATTAATTGGTTACAAGCGTAAAACAGATATTATTTAGAATATTTAAGCCAAAATAAACATGCAAAATATGCATCCTATGGTAAACTTTTCCAGTTTTTATGGAAATGTATTCAACAATTGTAAGTGTATATTCTTAAAGTGAACATGACAAAAGGTACAATTAGATAAGAAGATACTAAAGGGCATAAGTCGTACCATATATCATAAGCCGAAGAAGGCCAGACCATGGCGAAACGAGAAAAGACGAAACGACAAACAACAGTCCACAAAACGATACACAGAAAACAAAATATTCAAATATCATAGATGATAACATGGGTTTATGACTAGGGTGACTGATTTTTCTAATTGACTTGTGTCCTAAATAAGATTTTCTGATAAAAGGTTAACAAGCTATCATCGCACGAAGTAACGCTCGGGAAATATAAGGTTCCAATGACTGGCACAATGCCAAATCAAATAAATAAAAACCTCAGCATGAAAGGTATTTTCAGAGTCAAAACAGTAAAGTCAGTGTATCGTTTGATCCAGATAGAGGATAACTAACAATACAAAGTAAAAATGTATATTGACTTTTATATGATGGATGCAAGGATTATTGTACTCCTAAAATTATATTGACCTCGAACTTTAACCTTGATAAATATGATATTCTTGGCTTAACAACTCCTTAATAATTCCGTTTCATTAAAAATTCGTCAATTGTAAATCACATTACGCAGATGCAATGTTTTATTGTAATCCTCGCTTTGATTGGCGGACAACCATATCGTAGCGTTACTAAAGGGATTTTTTCAGTCCCACTTAAACGCAACACCCATGACTCCAGGCGCTCTTCATGGCAGCATTCCAACAATAAGTAGAAATAATTTTTTTTATAAATTTCACTCGTCCCCTTCTTTAATTCGATCCGCGCTTCTTACTATATATATGTGCTTTAGTCAAATACATGTAATCTAAAATAAACAATGGCATTCAATTCTTTAATGAAAATGATTTGCAAGCAATTGTGGGAAAAATCTTGCCGTCTTTAATAAAACAACCGTTTAATGTTACATGTACTTTCAAAGTACAGTGGGGATTGAGATTTTAAAACGTGACCCGGATATGCCTCCATATGTAAAACGAGAAGAATCAAACTGTATTTTCAAAACACATTTAATTGTATTGAAAAGTACATTCTTTCGATTGAAATTGAATTCGGGTTCAAATGCTCGAAGTACATAGTGTTTCTTATGATGAATATATTCATTATAATAAAAAAAAAGTTTTCGCGAAAAAAATTTACTACAACTATTTTTCTTTTATATTTACTTTTTTTTTTACTAATGACAAGTCCGAAATCGTTTTAAAAATTGAGGTATAAAATAGAATAAACTATACTTACTTTGTTTTTTTTTCCAAGAACAGAAGTTGCGGTTAATAGAACAGAGATCCAAACATTGCTAAAGCTTTAAAATAATGTTCAAAGTCACAGTTTCTAAACTATATGTATACAGAGTCATGCAAGTCATTATTAAAGTAGATATTCCAACAATGTGGAATATTTACTCTCCTCTGCTCCTTGGAAATTTGCCGAAAGTGTTACTTTAGTGTTTTTTCCACGGTATTTATCTAAGTCAAATTTTGCTGTCCACATACCATGTCCCCGATCTTCAAAATGGTGCCACTCTCCCTCAGCTACAACGGCTACTGCTTTTGCATTCGGAACTTTGACCTGCCAGTTTATATTTGTCAACTTACTGTTGGTGTGTAGGACTCTTGGCTCTTCAATAAAGCATCCATCCTTCCATTGAGCGTACTGCTTTGGGAACGGATAGACAGGCTGGAGGGCTCTGGTACAATTAATCAAATAGTTGTAGACGTTCGGAAGGGATTTGCTGGGATCGGCGGCTGGTAAACAGTACAATTGAAGCTTGTAATAATCGGACTCCGGCATGTGAACGAGAAAATGCACCACATTTTCTCTCGTTTGCGCAAACACAAACTTAGACAAGTCCTTGTCATTACGACAATTGATAAGTTGGGTGGTAAATTTGACGTGAGTTTTGGCTTTTATTTTAATTTCCAAGTGATTATCCCGAGCAGTAATTTCCGGTTCCGGGTGTGACAAGGTTTCAAGTCCAAGCTCGGAAAATTTCTCCTGTGGACCAAGGTATCCTTCCGGAAGTTCCGGCTTTTTATCCATTTTTGTATCAAGCAATTGAGCTGCTAGCTGTATACACCCTTTTGTTCGTCTGCCTGCACCGAGTGAGAAATCAGCAATGCAGGCCTATATAGGTGTCGCCACAGTCAGAGTGGTAACCAATAGTTATTTGTGTTAGTTATGATTTTATCGTATATTTCGGCTGGAATTTTCCTAGCAATGGAGAAGCTAAATTTAGATGATAGATAGAGCTATGTCGGTAACAATCACCATCATCAAATCAAAATA